AAATAGCCCACGGCAGAGTAGCCAGCAGGCAGCCAGCAGCAAGCCTCCCTTTCCCTTTTATGCCATCCAAGCTACCAGGCTTTTGCATGGTGTAACCCTCACCCAGGACAGGCTCTCTTATTAGCCATGCCTAAACCCACAATAAAATAATTAGTGGACTAATCTAGCAGCACACACCCTCAACTTCAATATCACAAAATGTAGAGACAGCTACCTATAAAAAGCCCCATATCACAACTCATGAGGCTTTGAGAGAACATCTAAGTACAAGCTGTAACATATGAATTGTGTAATGTATAATTAACACCCTAATAAACATGATCCTTTAGTAAACTAACCAGTACATGTTTCCAAAAAACTCCTAACTATGATAAATTGAATATAGGACTATGTCTTTAGATAGCTGTCTGGAAAACATTAAGCCAACATCTTTTTTAAAACTGAAGCATATTGATTCTCATTAATTGATATTGATAGTTTATTGAATTATTAGAGACACAAATAGTTTTATGTCGTTAATTAAAATAATTTTTAATTCTAATTCTTTGAAATGCCTATGTCCATTAATTTGTAATATAGTCTGAAAAAATTACAAATATATCATTTATCAATAGAAATATTTGGATTTGATATATTTGGAAAGATTTGCTTAAGATTATTTAAATGCTGAGATCTCTAATATGTAACTTTTCAAACTTGAGTATGCATATGAATCACATGGTCATTTTTTTAAACTACATAGTCTTGTAGTTTAAAACTGCTCACAAGGGAGGGGTGAGTCTGAGATTCTAAATTTCTAAAAGCATCCTGAGTGATGTCAATGTAGTTTATCCATGGACTGCACTTTGAAAAGAAAGACTCACAGGGCAGCACCTTAAGAGACCCATGTAGCTGTGTAGAGTAACCACCACCACACTTTGCTCAGTGTGCTCCGTTCTCCCTCCTTGGGGACATATGGGCTCTCATCAGTGACCAGGCCATCTCTTTTAGTGCCTTACTGCTGCATGTCCCTATGGAGAAAATTATTCCTGTTCCCATTCTTATAATGGTAGGTTGTACTCAGCTTCTTTACTTACCTGCTGTGTAGACTTCCTTAGACGAAAGGAAAGACTATCTAATAATAGCAGTGCCTCATATTTATAAATGGCTTCTAATCTACCACATATATGCACACATAGCCACTCAGATCAGCCCCACAAAGATCCCTAGAGTAGAATAAAATGAGTGTATTACAATCCCATTTACAAGTGCTCCCTGGCAAGAGCAAGTAGAGACCTTTCAGAGCCAGAATGATCAGGCACAACTTGAAGAAGAATGCACAAAGAGCTGGAGATCAGGCACCAGGAGGGATTTAAGTAGATGAGAACTGGGACAAATGGCACACCAAAAAGGGAAGGTGGATTCAAAAACACTATACATAATTATTGACCCACTTCTCAAAAGCCTAAAAAAATAGAAGAAAAGATGCTTTATTTTGTGGTAAGTAAGCACCATTAAAAATTATAATTTAGGGACTGATACAATCATATTTCAAAGGGAAGCATTTGACTCTGATGTAAGAAAAGTGAGCCCAGCTAGAAAGCTATTGAAGAGGAAAAAGTAAACAGTGAAGGCATATACTTAGGGAGTAACAAGGGCAAGGGGAAAATGTGTCCAGATTTTGATTCATGTCTGAATATAAAATGTGCCAAAAAGAATATTGACAGTTGAAGCCATTAAGAAAGATAAGCTCAAAGCTTGTAAAAATATGCCTGCCCTTTGACCCATTTATGCCTCACCTGTAATTTAAGACCAAGGAAATAAATTCCCAAAGACAAAATCTTTCCATATTTTTCACAACTACTTTTATTGTAACATTCGTCATAAAAGTAAAAACTTAAGAACAACCTAAATATTCATAATATGAAATGATTAAGTAAATTGTAGTGCAATAAGATTATAATATCATAAGATTCAGGATAATTTTGAAGGGCTTAACACAAATCCTTTCAAAATAGAGAAATATATATCCTGGTTGGAAAGAACTAATGCCTTAAAAATGTCAATTGTGTCCCAATTCATGTATGAGGATTAAATAGTGCCAAAGAAGTTTTTCATTTCAACAAATTAATCCTAAAATTTCATGAAAAATAAAAATATAGCATTTACTACGAAAATTTTATAAGGAAAGAAATTGCATTAATAGGTACCACAATGCACTATTTTTATAGTTGCAATAATCAGAACTGCATTTTGGGCACACAATAGGTATCTCAAAGAAACGGAATGTTGTCCTAAGTAAGCATAACCATCTAGAAATGCAATGTGCAGTATACAACTCTAGAAAACAATGGAAAAGTCTTGAGCCTTTTCAATGAGTTATAATATATGCACTCTGAAGAAAATTAATTTTATGCTTTCATTATAATTCATATGAAGCATAGAAATATTAAAGATTAGAAAAAATGATCCTTATCAGTAAGGATCATATGCAAAGAAGACAGACAAAAATTTTAGAAGACTTCATGGACAGATCTAATGAGATGAAAATTTAAAACTTAATGCAATTAAACAGTCCATAAGAAATATCCAGGGAAATATAACTGAAGAAAATTGTGCAACATACATTATACTATTAGTATGGCTAATAAGACACTCCAAAATTAACTTTAAGAAAGACAAACACCCAAAAAGAGAAGTAAGGGCAGGGGAGATGGCTCAACAGAATAAATGCTTGCCTGGCAAGCGCAAGGGCCTGAATTTAATCCCCAGTTCCTAAAAAAAAAGTAAGACTAGGATTGAATGACCATAACATAAAGGAAAAACTCAGATTATAAGAAACCTATGAACTCAACCTAATGAAAAACAATCACAACACAATTAGAACAACTCACATCATATTCTTATCAAACTGGAAAGATGGACAAAGTCTACACTAGTACTTGCAAAGACGTGAGAAAACACACTTGACATAAGTGTATATTAATAAGCATTTGAGTATAATATTTGGTAGCATATATTAAAAACTTAAATGTTCCTACTGAATGACTCAGTAACCTCAATTTTGGAACTTTCACCTACATTTTTGAAGACTGACTTGGTAAGTATCTATTAAATTTTTTTCCATAATTTTATTGAGAAACAAATAGCAGTGAGACAGTTTCAAATCAAATTGGTAGGACAGTTTCAATAATTAACACATTGCATACTTTCTTCCTAGTGGTTAATTGCTGTACAAGATGCAAACTTGATATCCTATTTACAAACACCATTAGAACGAATCCCTCTATTCATTAAGAGAATGTAACTATATATCTATCCTAACCACTTTGAATACACAGACACAAAATGGACATTCATCTGTATCCCCTTTTTTTGTTAAGTTCTATTATTTGAATATTATAGGTGTATAAACTCAGCAAAATATTCTAAAAGAGTCCAGTAGCCCATAATAGTATTGGGTCTTCTGCTTGACTGGCAATGTCAGAAATTGTTGACCTGAGTCCCCTACAGCTCAACATAACAGTATGGCTTTACTTCTTATACTTCGTTTTTATACTTTTCTGCTGGATGGTTAAGACCAAGGTAAAGCAGGACCTATGCAAAAAGAGTTGTAGCTTTTGGGCCTGATAATGGTCATTTTCTTTGACTCAGCCATGTAATTTCTAAGTATGTGTCCAAAGATACACACAAAGATAATCAGGACAGCATTTTGACCATATAAAGGTGGATTTCCAATAAATTAACAAGGGGAGAATGAAAGAATAAATGACAAACTATAGCCACTAGAAAGAGTAAAATAAATCTCTAGGTAGTAATGAAGAATATGTAATTATAGTAGACTTTAAAAATACAAGTTGGAAAAATTATTGCATTTTGAGTTCTAAGACATATGTATTCTCATATAATGATGTAGCAATTTATACATGTGACAAGGCATAGACATACATCCACATATGGTTTCTTCTGATGATGGCGTCAGATGCAAGAAAGCTCTTTCCTCTACTGAGCCATGGAACCAGGTCTTGGAGGCAGTGAGCAGACACAGAGTCTTAGGCTAGCTGGAGCAGACATCTATGTGAAAAGGAAGAAGACATCACCAGGACAGATGCAGAAATGAGCAAGAAGGAAACACAAGAAGAGGCACCGAGCACGCTGTGTGTAGAGAAAGAGGCAGTGAAAGACAACTATGGGACAGAGAAGAGGGTGAGTGCCAGCACCTTCTTCTGTTATTGCTTCAAAACTGCAGCAAAGTAACTCACTGACAGTGAAAACAGGTGACTCAGGGACAGTGCACTATTTGATTCAGGCAGTATTTGCTTTCATACTTTTTCCTTTGCAAGGAAAAATAGGAATGGCTTTTGCAAGACAAAAAGTGATGGTAGCTGTGATTGAGTTACTATCAAATTGAAACAAAATTGTGAGCCTACACCCTTACTGGAAAAGATAAATTCTGCATTGTGGAACACAATTAAAGTGTAGGTTACTTAGGTACTACCGGTTTCGGTATTATTTTCAAGTGGCAAAGTAAAAACCCCCGAAATCTTACAAGTTTTGCCTTTGGGTATTAAAAAAGAAAGCAAAGCCTCTTTGGGTAGCTGTTTCCTCTGCCCCTTTCCACCATCCCCTTCTCCTGGAAGGTGAGACTCGCGTTCATGCAGCCCCGCCCAAGGATGGCCAACTGCTGCTCAGGGTTGGTAGAAATAAGGAAAGAATGGACACCAACTCTCAGTGCCTTCACTGACCGGAAAATGCCACTTCGGAGATCATTCGACATATCTTATTATTGCTTTATCTATTTTCTGGTACAGTTTCAATAGCAGATGTATGGTCCTAACCGCGCAAAGCCGACCGGGCAGAGCCGGTGATCCCTCCCCACTCGTCGCTGCATTCCCGCCCTCCCAGCTGCCTCTGTCACCTTGCGAAACTGGCAGGCTCTGGGCACTTCGCACGCTGGAGACAAACCACGGTTTTGCCTCCAGCAAGGAATAGAAATGTTGTAACACAGACTCCTCCTCAAATGAAGAACCAGCGAACCAGTGCACGGAGCGCAGCTTCTCAGAGGCACCCCGGCTGGACACGGGGAGAGGAGGCTGCCTCCCCAGACGCCCAGTCTTCTGGGCTGGGCTTTCCCCGCCTTCCTTTTGCTGTTTCACTCAGCCGCTCTCCTGCTGATCTCTGGATTTTACCGGCTGTCCAGCAAACAGCTTGACACACCATGGGTGTCCGCGTCCTCGGGTGGCGAGTGCTCCTGGTCTGACCCGGCAGACTTTACTCCGCAGCAGAAGTGAGTACTCCGACGGGGGGCGGGCACCTTCCTCCTCCTCCTCTTGGGCTGCGGGTTCGAGGCCCGCGCGGGACGGAGCAAGGCGGCGGCGCGGGCTGCTGCGGGAAGCGCCAGCGGCGAAGGAAGCCGAGGCCGAGGGAGTTCCCAGTCTGGGACCGCAGCCGGCCTCGGGGGTCCCTGATCGGAAGCCCGCTAAGGTGTTCGCCACCCTGCGCCTGCTTCCTTGGGCTCTGTAAACCGCACCTGCAAGTGCGCCGCCAGGATTAGTTTCGGCCTGAGCTGAGAGTCTCAGAATGAGCGTTGTTTTCGTCCAGATGAAGTGTGAGGTGGAGAATAGCGCGAGGGGGCAGGAATCCCAGAGGTGGGGCGACGACCGCTAGCTCTCGGGTCTCCTCTGCACAGTGGGCAAAGTTGAGGGTCGCTTGCGCTGCCCACCTCCCATCCCCGCAGCTGCGGCTCCCCACACCCTCACCTCCAGCCTGTCATGCGGTGCGGGCCAGCAGCCTTAACTGGAACCCGAGCTCCGCGGCGCTGGAGTTGGAGCCCCGGGGAGGACACATGGAGGAGAATGGGGAGACTGAGCCCTGGGAAGCCAGCCGGCTGTGCAAAGGGAGGCAAGGGTTAGAGGTCGGACTCCAGGAGTAAGAAAGTATCCTTTTAGTGACCTTTGCCTATACCCGGGAAGCAGTCCGCATTTCCCTCAGGACAGACAATTTAGAATTTTCTGTGATTGGACTAGAAAACGGTTGAAACCTTATTAATGATCTGGACGGATCCTTTCGGATTCATTCAAAGTGTTGGCGGGCAAGGATTTCCCACCTGAGTCTCCTGACCAGTGCAGTGCTCCTAATCCTATAGCTCTCCCTTGGCTGTGCCACCTTGGACAAGACACTTAACTCTCTCAGGGCCTCAGTTTACTCTGAAAAATTTAGTGGAATTTAATGGAGTAAATGTGCAGTGTTGAAAATTTTCATTTTAGTGGCTTTTTCTTTAAAGGTAAGGACCAAGGAAGACAGAGATCTTTTGCAAATAAGGAGACCAAGAGTTGGGGTGGGTGGGTAAAATGGATTAAGATGTTTATATGCAAGTATCAACTCCCCAAGATGAATCTAATCATTATGTCCTCCAAATGTGCGCTAATAAAATGTTCATTTAATAAATAAATAAAAACTAAGAACCCTAAGTCCTTTTAAGAATTAGCTGTTGAGGGGTTCCAAGGAGATGGCTCAGTAGAATAAGCACTTCCCTGGCAAGTGCAAGGGCCTGAGTTCAACCCCCTGTTCCACAAAAATACATAAATAAATAATAAAGAATTAGCTGTTGAGTTTTCTTCCTGTAGGGGTGGTGGGAGGTGGGGGCACTTCTTATGGAATGTACGCAGAATTTTACATGCAATTCCTAAAGATCTGTAGACATTTCTGCACACCATACCTGCATCCCAGGTAAAAGTTCACTGCATAAACATCACCCATGCTAAGGGCAGCTGAGGTAACTACAGGAGTAACTCACAAACCTCAGAGATGCCAACTACACTGCTGAGGGAGGTGGCCTTCATTCCCGGGGTAGCTCCCTAGACAGCTTCTCAAGGGCTTACCGGTCTTTGCCTCACCCAAGCCTTTTCTTGTAAGTCTTTCACAAACTTGTCTACCTCTGGAGATTTTGATCCTATAAACAACATTGGAGGGTCATCTGAAGAGGGTCGCTGTATGAATAAAAGAATGTTGTTCAGGTCACCCAGCTAGGAGAGAGAGAAAGGCCATGATTTTATCTAAAAACAAAGTATGATTTGCTCCCCTAATGCAGTATAGCTAGGTTTTCATTGTGATCTCTGTACTTTGTCTTTAAGGGGTAGTGGGTTCATATCTTGTGTGTTCCCATGTTTTCCACTGGCACTGCCAGAAGGATGTAACTCAGGTCTGTGAACTGGAAAACACATAGGGTTTTGGAACCCAGTGTACTGTGCTTCAAATCATGGCTTGCACATTTTAGCAACCCATTGAACTTTCCTGAGCCTTACTTTTCCTGTCTGCAGAATAAGGAATGATACAACTTTGTTGTATAGTTCTTGGGTGATTAGAAATATTGTTCGTTGTCATGCCTGACCCAGAGTCAGTGATAACTTGCCATCATCAATATTAATGAGAGATTTAATTAAGTGTCCAGTGGTCTAAAAGCTTTTCGGAGTGGCTTTCTTTTCTACAGGGCTTGTATTAGCAGAATAAGTGAAATCAGCTCTGGTCTAATTATTCTCAAAGATGAGTGAGTGAGGGTTCAAATCATAGGGCCTCATTACTTCTCCAGCTATGCTGGGTCAAGCACTTCACTTTGCCAACAAGTAAAATATGACCATACTAATGGATTCTCTACCCTTCTCTTTGTTCTCTTTTAATGCATAATCTTGTCTACAGATTGACTATCTGTGCCTGCAACTACAAAAAGCTGAGCATGGAAATAAGAGAAGTCTTGTGCATGGGTCCTTCTCCAAATATATCAGAAACCATTCATGTAGAGAAGTCTATATTGTTATCTTTCACTGCTTGGCTTAGATTTGGATTGAAATTCAATTTGTACTCACTGTTTCTCTCTCTGTCACTCTCTGGAGCCCTGGCCTCTCAGGCACAAGTGGTTACATGACACAGAAATGTGGGGAAGGAATATTAGAACCTTAAAAAAGTTACAAAGATTGATCAGCACATCTAGATAGATAGTCTGCTGGGCAAAATGATAATGTTGATAGCTATTATTCATTGAGCCTTGAAGGTGTACTTTCATATATTACCTCAATTGGTTTTCATAACAACATTGTGGAGAACAAGTAAAGCCTCACAGATAAGGAAACTGGATTAGAGACATTCACATAATTTGCCTTGCATTCATAGCTTGGGATTCAAATCCAGGTTTGTCTGGTTTTGACACCCACCTTTTTACATCGTGCCCAGGCTGTCAACTTCTCTGATAACACACAAATCATGCCAAATGAATTTAGATTTTTTTTATATTTGAGACAGAGGCTGGCCTTGAATTCACTATGTAGCCCAGCTTACTTGCAGTGATCCTCCTACCACAGCCTCCTTAATGCCAGGATAACAGGTCCGTGTTACCACACCTGGCCTGGGATTGTTCTTAAAGGCACAAATAAGCCAGTTTGGTGAATGGTCTGAGTGATGCAAACACATACTTTATTCATGCTGCAAATTAACAGGTAGCAAGTTAGGAAAATAACTTTGACTCCTTGCAAGCCCAGCTGATTCTTGAGTTGTGCTTCTAAGTTTAAAAAAAAAAAGGCTTCATTCTTTATTACCTTTAGAATTATACTATTTACATTTACTTTCCTGTGTTAGTGCTTTTCTCACTCATGTATTCAGCAGACACTTGCCAGGTTCTATTTTGTGCTGGGCATTTGACAGTACAGATGAGACAGAGAGGGTCTCACCTCCAATGGAGCTTCTTGGTATAACAGAGAAAGATACTAGGCCACACATAAAGAACACATACATAAAGATTATTTCAGGTGTCAATCCAAGCTATGAAGACAATAGAGCCTGGGTGCCAGAGAGCATTCTAGAGAGTATTTGGTCAAGGGCAAAACTTTAAAGAGGAAGTCAGAGAAGATCTTCTTAAGAAGTTGAGCCTTAAAACTTAAAAGAGAGAGAGAGAGAGAGAGAGAGAGAGAGAGAGAGAGAGAGAGAGAGAGCCTGCCTGTGCAGTCTATGGAAAAGTCTACTTTAGCTGAAGAAATTGCAAGGGAAAGACTCTGAAGTGGAATGAGTGAAGCAGTACAGCCTCAACTCTAAAGCTAGGTCCTTGAGCAAACATGTTGCATGTAATACAGAAGAAATTATTGGTTGAATGCTTACTATACAGTTCTAGGCTGTGCTGTACACCTTATACCCATCTTATTTAATCTGCCTAAATATCTGGTGAATTAGCCATTTTCAACTTGGCTTTGTCATTGAAACAACTGAGATTCAGAGAGGTAAAACAGTGAGTTCAAGGCTACAAAGCTGACTTAGAATCAATAAGAGAAGATTCTCTGAGTGTTACATGAATGATATAATTGAAGTTTTGGGATTCAGGGGGACAGTATGCCACAAGCTTTAAGGCATATTGAGAACAATCAGATAAATGTTTGGTATTGAGGTATAAATGTCACGGAAAAGACAAAAAGGAGAGGTGGAGAAAGGATACCATACATAAGGAAAATTGCACAGCCATACGGTGGTGGCTATGTGCACAGGATTTTGGATTTGCTTTTCCTTTAAAACCAATTGTGAAGTGATATAGTGAGCATCACTGGAGGAGAAGGATGAGTGTTAGAAAGATGGATCTTTTCTCTCTCCTCTTTCACCAAACAATTGAATTTTGGGGCAAACTTGAGAAAACACTAAACAAAGAACAGAGGGAAAAGTTGTTTGAAAATAGGAGGAAATATTTCTGTAATATCTTTATGAACTTGCTAGTTAAGACCATGCCTCTTAATGAAAATATAAAGTGAATCAAATGCAGGATTTATTTTTTTTTAATTTTTTGTTGCTTATTTTAATTTTTGAATTTTGAATTTTTTTTATTTTTTAATAATTTTATTGAGAAACAAATAGCAATGAGACAGTTTCAAATAATTTTTTTATTAAACCAAATTAAGAGGAAGTGAGAGGGTGATTAATTTAGTAAGTTTCATATAAGCAAATTGATTTAGTAAGTTTCACAGCATGTGGCCTTTGAGACAATCTCTGTTGGGAGATAGAGCACCAACAGAGGGAAAATACAAAGGCATATTAGGTAGTCAACTATTGACAAGGATTTCTATCTGATGTCTCAAACTTCATTTCGTGTGTCTGGACCTGTATTCCTGAGTTCTCTAGCTGTCAACCACTTGTGGCTGTTGAGCACTTGACATGTGGCTAATCCAAATTAAGGTGTCATGCAAATTAAGGTCTCAAAGACCTTGTATCCCCACACACACAAAAAAGAAAAACCTCTTGATTTTTATTTTGATTACA